CCTGTGTGGCCAAGTTACTGATTGCTAATATGGACTTTGAACCCAAAGAAAGAGTAACTTCCCAGAAACTGAATGCAAACTGTAAGTATTTTTATTCTAGGGCTTTCACACCAAGTAGTGTTTAATGTTAAGTTTCATGGAATGGGTTTACAAAGTGTGTGCTATAGATCATTTATAATCTGCACTTCTATCTATATTATTTTTGTAGATAATCTGTTGTATTCAGTTGAATTCTGTTGTATTCAGTAAGTCATTGATTCATTAAATACCTACTGTTGTTCATGACAGAAGTTAAGCAATGATTTAGTAACTCCTCTCTGACTCTTACCTTGGGCACTGATGCTCAGTCAGAAAGTAAAGACCAGAAGAAAAATAGCAGCATGCAGGTAAACAATTGTTTTTAATATTGCCTTTGTATGCTTAGCTGTTCCAAGTTTATAGTCCTAAACAACAGGGAGACAAATGTAAGAGTGAAAAAAAAAAAAAAAAAATACACATTCTGTCTAGCTCAGCTTTCAAAGCTGCAAGCTAAATGTCTTATCAGGTCTGGAAAAAATTGTTCCACTGTGTTACTAGAATACACATTATTCATTTTTTCTTGATATTGTGTGAAATGTACCTCTAGAGAAGCTAGCGTTAAAGATCTGCATGTCATTCTTCATTAACTTACTGACCTTACCTCTCTTTTGTTCTCTTCCAGTTGGTCCACAAAATACTATGATTACTGCATCTCCAGGCAACTCGCCAATGGAGGGGGATCCTCTAAAACTAACTTGTGTGACTGAGAGTAGTCCACTACCACAAATAGTTTGGAGAAAACACCTGGCTGATGAAAGCATTCAGCATCTCATCAAAAACAATGTCCTTTCTATTCCCCATGCCAATTTCACTGATTCAGGACTGTACATCTGTGAAGTAATTAATCTGATAACTAATAAAACAGAGAAAGCAACTGTGGACATTGTTATACAAGGTACAAGTCTGCTTGAATTTAACTTGTATTATCCAGTACCCAATTGGTAGCTGCCTGTTGGGCTGGAGCACGCTGAAACACTGAAACTTAGGAAATAGGCCCATAGTGGGGCCTTCTTTGTTATGTATTCAGGATTTAGATTTACTGCTGCTCTTCATGGTCTGTGCTTTTCATTTCTATGCTTAATTTTCAGCTAATTCTCTCTGTACCGCTGTTATACATACATACCACTACCCGTTTCCTGCAATGCAACTCTCAAAGTGATTACAGAATCATAGAAGGCTTTGGGTTGGAAGCAACTTTCAGAGGTCATCTAGCCCACCCTCCTGCAGTGAGCAGGGACATCTTCAACTAGACCAGGCTGCTCAGAGCCCTGCCCAACCTGGCCTTGAATGTTTCAAGGGATGGGGCCTCCACTGCCTCTCTGGGCAATCTCTTCCAGTGTTTCACCACCCTCAATGTAAAAAATTTCTTCCTTATATTCAGTCTAAATCTACCCTCCCTTAGTTTTAAGCCATTTCTCCTTGTCCTGTTGTAACAAGCCCTGCTGAAAAATATTTCCCCCATCTTTCCTATAGGCCTCCTTCAAGTACTGGAAGGCTGCTATGAGGTCTCCCCACAGATGATGAAAGAAGCTGAGAAAGTTGTAGTGTGGGGGACACTGTTATTTCCTTGAAATGCTAACATACATAGCAATTCACGGGGACATCACAGTCTCCTTCTTTGAAGTAGTAGTTTTAGTCATTAGTAGTAAAATTTAGTAGTCATTTAATAGTAAAACTATCTGGGAAATCATCATTATTCTTATTCTTCTTATTATTGCTACTGTTTCAATAGAGCCAAAAGTCTCAGATGGAGCCTTCCACCAAAACCAAAATGAACAGATCCTTGGGCGAGCAGTTCCTGCTTTCTTAAAATGTTCTCCGTCTTAAGTACTTTTGCATTTGTACAACAACCTTTTCTTTTGCCATGCAGGTGCTCCAAACACTGCAGAACTCTCCATTGAGCCTTCTACAACAGTTCAAGAAGGACAAAATGTTTCCATACAATGCTCTGCTGAGAGTAACCCTCCTCCCAAGATTATTTTAAGGAGAAAATCTGACAGTGCAGACATGTGGCCTTACAGTGAGGGGAGAATGCTCCTTCTTCCATCTGTGACATTCCTAAATGGAGGAGACTATGAATGTGTAGCAGAAAATAAGTTTGGGAAAAGTAAAAGTGAAATAACACTTAATGTGGAATGTAAGTATGCATAATGTTTTCCCAATCATTTAAAAATATTAGTTAATTCTCCACTTACTTCAGCAATAAATGTAATGATCAAACTAAATGAAACCCTGTGAGTACAAAAAAATCAGCATAGTCCTCTGCTGTCCTCCAAAGAAAGGAGCAGTGCTGATAAGCAAAACAAAGACATGACGACTTTAATGTAAAGACAGTCTTAGAATCTGAATGAGCGAGAAACTAGTCTACCCTCTTAACGTTCTTGGTTAGAAGTACTAGGTTAGTATGCTTAGGCTATAGAGATTTTGTATGGAAGCTCTGATACTGTGTTCTTATTCTGAGAATGAAAAAGAAATAAATTCTGGGAGGCTGACAACCTGGCATCCAGTAGGACATCTCTAAAAAAATCCAGTGATGATTAACTACAGGATTCTTCCTTTCAGATGGACCAAAGAATACAATGATCTCTGTTATCCCTGCTACTGCTGTTAAAGAAGGAGAAACTGTGACAATGAAATGTACTAGTTCTGGTAATCCGGCTCCAGTGATCTCTTGGAAGAAAAAGACAGTCACTGGGGAGCCTGAGAAAATTTTTAAAGATGCAACTTTAACTATACAGAATATAAAAAGTCAAGATCTGGGGCTTTATGAATGTGAAGCTTATAACCAATTTGGCAAAGAAGAAAAAGCTGTGAAATTACTTGTTGAAGGTTAGTAGAACAAGACGGGACACAAGTTTTTTGTTCTATGTATTTTAGGTCCAGATCTCTGTCTGTAAAGAATGGGGGAGTTCTGTCAAGGGAGTTAAAAGGTGGCCCTAATGTCATTAAGTTGTTTAGGAAGCTTTAAACAATAAAAGGTGAAATCTGCCTTAGTACAGATAGCTTATGCAAAGTTCACATCTCAGTTGAGCTTCCATCATTCCTTCCAACTGGCAAATGTGTGCATGAGGCAAAGAAGCTATGCAGTGCCTATGTTTTCTTCCGAATAGGTCTCAGTGGAGGATCCAGATACCTGCATACAAAAGATTCAAAGAGAAAATACATGGTGAAACTTCTCTGTGGAGGGGACTGCATTACAGCCCCTTGGCTCTTCTTTAAGTTACGATTCTCTATCCTGTTCTTGTAAGCTGCATTTAAGCTATACCAAATGCTGATTCCTCAACCTACATGTGATGACAGCAAAGTTTCATTTTCAGTAGTACGCGGACTTCTCTGTTTTAGCCCTTCTGCTTCTGTTTATTGCATGGCAACAATCTATTGCTTAGGGATCACTTCTGCTACTAATCCATCTATCTTCCTTATTCTTTATTACTTTTGTAGCTGCACCGAAAAAGACACTTTCAATTTTCCCTTTAAGTGCAGTGATACAAGGAGAAAGTGCTACTATCTCTTGCAAATTTGCGGATGTTACCTGTTCAGAGTACTCTGTGAAAGAAAATATGTGATGGGATCTCAACCCTTGAAACAGTCAATGGCATATATACTATAGACTGGGCTCAGCTAAAGGACACAGGAACATACAAACACGTATCATTAATGAACCTGGAGAGCAATCTCAGCACATAGTACTTTATGTCAAAGGTTAGTTAAAAGAACTACTGTACAGAGTTAATATCAGGATTTGTTTTGGACAGATGGAATGACATCATCACTTCAATCCCATTAAGAACGAATTGTCTTTAAAAAAACTGAAGTGAGTTGCACAGGTTCTTGTCATATGCGGTAGGATGTTAGTGCTAATGAAAACTTCTGTCCAAAATAGCAGATGCACAAAATAATTGCTGCTTCAAATTTTTTCATAGTTCCACTTCCACCTTTGAAAACAGGATGTAAAATTGTGGAACCTAGTGAAAAAAATACTATTCTAGGACTCTTTCCTTAGCCTTTTGTATTCCTCTTCTGAAACAGGACATCAGCCTCTGGGTCTGTTGTTCTGTGTCCTTTCATGAACTCAAATGAATAAACAGTGAATTTAAAATAAGAAAAGAAGAACAGGTTCCATATAATGTAAAAGATACGCAACATATTCCATCAATTGATAAAGTGTTCTTTGTCAGCTGCTGTTGATGGCAGTGTGTGAAGGATATCTAGTGACAGAGTAGTGTCTAAAGCTATGTGCTTGAATATTATCGTGAATCCATTAACTGGATTAGTACTTTGTGTGTATAAGGTGCTGATACCTCATGAGTTTTTTGTTTTATTGCTAAATCCTACCTTGCATTTCTTTTCTTTTCAGTTCCTCCCCAAAATATTACTGTGTTAGTATATCCATCAGAAAATGTTAAAGAAGGAGAAAATATCACTATTACATGTAGTGCATACAGTAACCCACCGTCACAGGTGGACCTGAAAAAAGTCCATCTTGAGAAAGAAATTATTCTGCCATCAGTGAATGGAACCTTTATATTCTACAATGTCACCAAAAATTATACAGGCAGATATTTGCTTGATGTTTTCAATGAGGTTGGAAACAACACCAAAACAATTGAGATAGCTGTTGTAGATAGGTAGATCTATTGCCTTAAACTTATTTTCTAATGAATTTTTTTCAAGGTGAGCACAACTAGTTTATGGCTGATCCTTGCTCAACAATACTGCAGTTAACCTGAAAAAAAGCCCAGAATCAAACCAAATAATAGAACAGATGGTGAGAATACGCTATATTTAACTTCCTTTCAGTGTGGGTGTTATTGTTTCTCTTACCTGAGTTGATGCAGTAGCTTTAACGATAGGGCCAGAAAAAGGTGGGTCCTGGCCACATTTCTGTTCACATGCATGAACTGCGAGACTAGTCCAGAGAAAGTTCTATTTCACAAAAAGATCTAAATATTGAGCTTTTCAAACATTGTCTTCTCCTGATGCATTGTTTTGAGGAGGTAGAAATGTCCCCAGATGTTTCCTGGGTAAAATACATCATATTCTTCTTGTATTCTTCATGAACTCCATGGTATTCTTCATTGCAGCAAATTCAAGGCCAAGAGAGTAGCTAGGAATTAAAGTGTATAATATGGAGTTACTTAAGAAAAAAGCACAAGGAAAACATTTTGAAATGTGCTTTATGTATGAAAACAGTGTCCCAAATGAAGATGCTTTTACAGTCATAGACATGTATCTGTTTCAATCAGTTTTTACACAACTTTTTTCTCCTTTTGTCTCTGTTTTCAGGAAGATTGGAAAAACCAGATCAAATGATACCACTGATTATTGCATTCTCCTGTGTAACAGCAATAGCAGTACCTGTAGTTGCAATTTTGATCTACATGTCAAGAAAAGCAAAGATAAATGGATCCTACAGTCTTGTAAAAGCACTCGGGCTGAAAGTGTGATCGCATGAATATAAGTCTAAGTTCATAATAAGCGATGTTATTTATTGTTGTGACTGGTTCTACTCTTCTATAACATCTTTTAACAAATGACTTGGGAACACCGTCATGTGACAGCAAATGGAGATTTTTTTCATGTTTTAATAAGTACTTTGGTATTTAATTTAAAGGGAAAACTAGTATCCTGTCCTAGAAATTTGAAAATCACTTCTGTGTTGAAGCATGAAGAACAAAGAGTTCCCTGGAGAACTAGGTTTATACATAGTGTATAATTTGTGTTATAAATATGTTCAACTGAATATCAGTTTGTAAAATCGCAGTCTCACTGCAACTGTACAGAGAAATGTTGTTAATTCAAATATATAAATCACCACTACTTGAGCTGATCAGATAACATTTTATTTTGTATTACTCTACAGAGTGAATGTTCTTACTATAATTTATCTAATTGTGGTAATGTTTGGATAATATTCTCTTTTCACTCATATTGCCGCAAACTTTGTACCTTCAATGAAATTACACAATCACGGGGCTATGCATTTCTAATTAATTTAAATTAACATCTCAAGGTTCATTTCTGCAACATTTTATTTTAAACATTATTCAGAAAGTGTCTGGGATTATAATCTAGTTAGTTTTAGGACAGCTGAGGTATGTTTGTAGGGTTTAATTATTCTCAAATCAATGCCAGAATTCTGTTATTTTGTGATGAGCCCAATCAGTCCCTTCATTTAGAATATAAGCTGCTGGTAAATATGCCTTACAGATTTCCCCCGCAAAATAAAACTACCAGTAGGTTTCTTTGACTGTATCCCCCTAGTGGTTCTTGCCTATGAAAGGAAACAGTGAAAACTATTATCCTTAGCAACAGCAGTTTTGAGTGTCAGGGGAAGCCTTAGCTGTAAAGGCACACCAAGGCAGGCAACGACATAAAGGCATAGGCAAGGAGGAGAGGCAAAATCTATGCAGCCTCAGCAATGGTGGTTGTTTCCTGAAGAAATGCTCACTGTGGGAAAACTAAACCACTTACCTGACAAATTTCCTTTCAGTAGACAGCTAGTGCCTACATGCTTCACCGTGGTTAGCACCTTTTTCACCCCACGCTCTCTCCAGTGTTGGCAAAATAGTGTTGTGAAAATAGTGGGCTTTCTGTGCAGATGCAAAGATGAGGGAGAAGGAGAGGTGGAGTCTGATGGTATTCTCCCTTACATCCCTTCTGTCTAGAAGTGCTGCTGTGACTCATCTGGTTGGTGATGTTCAGCACTGAAGGCAAGGCTGTGGGAGGTGCAGGCACTGTGGCTGAGATGTTGAAATGCATCTAGTCTCAGCAGTCCTGAGCCACGGTGTTTGGCATAGGAAGATGGGCTTGGCTCCCCCAAACTTCCACACAGAAAGTCAAGCACAAGGCCAAGCAGATATATGTGAAAAGAGTTGCTTTAAATTACACAAATGGTAACAACTGCCCCCAACAGCAATACAAACATTGATGTTTCTTGGTAGCTAGCTGTGGGATGAGGTAGTGGTGCAGATCTCCCGTATCTTTTTCATATGTGTGTTCAGGGTTTTGTGCACAGTAAATCAGTGCATGCAGGGTCCTGCACTTATCTACAGTTGGAAAGGGCAACTTGGAAAGTGGGGATGTAGCAGAAAAATAGCAAAGCAGTGTGGACTTGGCTTGGAGGAATGTAAGCATGCAGTAGGAGGGTGAAGAAAAGATTGAAGACAGAGTAGGAGGAGAGCTTTGACAGGCCCATGACAGAAATTTCTTGGAGGTGGTGCCAGGCAGATTTATTCAGAGTAATGTCAGGCCTGTCTCAGTGCTGTCCTGTGAACAAACCAGAAAGCATGATTTTTCCACTGTGCAAAACTATGGTGCACACACATTTTGCCCACTAGGTATAGTTCTGGTATCTGTATTATATATCTTGCAAGAATGATAGGTAGAAAAGATACAGAGGAGGAGGACTGGAACACAGGAAAAACGAAAATGCTTGGGACTTTCCAGTTTGGAGATAGTATTTGTGATACAGATACAAACCTTAATGTCTACATGGCTTGTCTTTCCTCTCAGGATCTCCATTAAGTCATTTAAGTCTATAGGAGTTGGTCTGTGAGTTCAACAGGGCAAATTTTTCACCCAGAAATGCAAAGTGAATAGATAGAGATTGTAGTGCTTATTTTAGGAGAGATTGCTCTTGTGTGGGCAACAAGCTTCCTCTTGGTGAAATCACGAAGGAGGACCTTGCCAGGGGATCTCCTCCCCTACTGCCTGATTCTTGGTATTTTCCAGGACACTTAATGATTTGGGCAGAAGCTTGTGCTGTGGAGGTTAAAAGTTCGCAGGCAAATAATTTCTCTTTTTACTGAAAATTACAGCAG